ATAGGATCTATGAGCCAGTTTCAGTAATTTTTCAAATAGCCTATTTTATCTTCCGTAGCCCACCTATGATTTGAAAAAAACACAGCAATTTATAACATGGACACTTTCACCAAAAAGGTGATTGTTAGGTAGGTAGGTAGGTAGATTAATAGACAAATAGATTTTCTAAATCTACCTATCAAATTAACAGAGAAAAGATTAAACTTGGAAATGAAGAAATGCCCAGCCACATACTTTTTCTTGGGATGAATCTGGTTTATGGAAGATACTGCAGAAGATGTCCTCAGGTCCAGCTGCTTGGTACCATCTATCCTGTCCCAGGTTGACTCAGGGAAATAGAGTTCGACCTTGAGATGTCACCATGATGAAAAACAATGTAATGCCAACCACAGAAGCCTGTGTCCACGGCTGAGACTCCGGTTTTTATTTTCACCCTCCCGGCCCCGCTGAGCTATTCCAGACCATTTTTTCCTACTCAGTATTTTATAATTAAAATTGTCAAATGCACTAAAGATTTGAAATAATTGTGCAGTGGACACCCACATACCCATCAACTAGATTCTTCGATATTTCGCTCCATTTGCACTATGGACTAAATACACACATCCTCCCACAACTCACATGCTGAAGCCCCATCTCAGTGTGATGCCCTTTGAATGCCATGGTAATTGAGGCCATTGGGAGGTGATTAGGTCATGAGGGTGAATGCTCAGGAATGAGATTAGTGCCCTTATAAGAAGAGACATGAGAGAGATGTGAGGACATAGCAAGAAGGCTGGCTTAGCAAGAAGGTGTCTGTCTGCAAACCAGGAACATGATTCTCACCAGGAACCAAATCAGCTGGCACCTGGATCTTGGAGTTCCCAGCGTCCGCACCATGAGAAATAAATTTCTGTTGTTTAAGCCACCTGGTCTATGGTATTTTTGTTATAGCAGCCTGAACTAAGACAGTTTGCTTTCTTATGTATCTATCCATCTATCTAAACATCAATCTATCGTAGCTGTAGCCATTCATTGCTCTTCACCTAAACATTTCAGCATGCATTTCATTAACTAGAGTTCAATATTTTATGGTTCTTTCTAAGTTAAAATTTACACACAGTGAAATGTACAAAGCCTAGTACCATTCAGTAAGTTTTTTATTAAATTTATTGGGTGACATTGGTTAATAGGATCATACAGGTTCCAAGTGTACATTTCTGTGATACATGATCTGTATATTGCACTGTGTGTCCACCACCCAAGTAAGTTTTGACAAATGCAAACATCCATTTAACACAAACTCCTTTTAAAATATAGAACAAGTCTATCCCCCAGAATATTCCCTCATGTCCCTGCCCAATCCATCTTGACACCAATACGAATCCTAAAGCAACCACTCTCTACTTTCTAAATTCACTATAGATGAGTTTTGCCTGTTTTAGAACTTCATATAAATGGAACCAGGCAGTAGGTACTCAATACGTTTTTGAGATGCCTCCATGCTGTTAAATGCCTCAGTTAATTCCATTCCTTTTTATTGCTGAATAGTATTCCACCACAGAAATAGATCTTAATGTGTTGATTCATTCATGAGGACATGAGGACTTTTTGCAGTTTTTGATATTATGAATAGAGCTGCTATGAACACTCTCGTGCAGATCTTTTTTTTTTTAACTTATGGGTAACTGCCTGAGGATGGAACTGCTGGATATTCAGGGCATATTTAGTTGTATAAGAAACTGCCAGGCCTTTTCCCAAAGTGGTTGCTTCATTTTCCACTCCCACCAAGAATGTATTCTCCACACTTGGTGGAACTTGTCTTAGTTTTAGCCATTCTGGGAGAGGGGTGGGGGAGACTCACATCCTTAAGTATGCTCCCACCACCTCCTGCTCATCAGAGTTAAACCTGCCCCTCACTGAGCCTTCTCCCCAAGGATTCAACTCAAACGTTTGGGGAGGGGAGCTTACATTTCAGTGGCTTATTTCTTCTAAGACCCTAATAGAGGAGAGGAACTTCATCAACTATCTGTCCAAGTCTTTTATCTTGCTTAAGAAGACAAGTTTAAAATATCAGAACAGTCATCTGACTGAATCAAGCTGGCCAATTCAATGTTATCTTCTGTCTCATGATATATTTTGAGACAAAAAATTCACACATCTAAATCTCAGCCTTTGTCTCTGCTTCCAGCAAGATTTAGAACCATCACTATTTTAGAGAAGGAAAGTTCCCAGTACCCAGGCTCAGCCTGTTTTCCTTCAGCTTCCCTAAGAACTATTCTTAATATTATCACAGCCACCCTGTAAGGCTGGATCGATGTCTTGACAGAGTAGATAACTGCACCCATGCCAAGAGTCCCCAGCACAAGATCTGTGGCCCTCGCACATACATGCTCCTACAGGTCTCTTTCCGCTGGCAGGCACCTCCTACATCCTTCTTGGTGGACTCTTCCATGGGGCTTTGGTCACACATCCTGCCCTCGCTCCCCCTTCACCTTGGAGGCCAGTGCGCTTGGCAAGGTCCTTCCACTCCCCCGCCCCCGCCCCACTCCCAATCCCATTAATTTTCCCACTCACATCGTCTTTCTTTCTCCCCGTTTCTTCCAACTCTGCTCAGTTACCTCATAAAACTCTTGTCCCCTCACCCTTCCTCTTGTTCTCTTCCATATGGGAACTAAAAATGTATCCTAAGCTTGCCTGATGACTGCCAAAGTAGTGCTGGTGGTGTAAGGAAGTGAGACAGAATGAAGAACCAAGTCGACATCGAGAGCCCTTGAAAGTACCAAGAGGTCCCTTTCACAAAGGAACCGTCCACTTTCTCAACCCCTCCTAATTAAGCTGGATTTTCCTCAAGTACCGGCATTCTATGTAAACAAAAAACTTTTGTCTTCCCTATTGGGTTTCTGGTCTAATTAATAGCACCACAGCAATATTGTCTTCTATTACTTTGATTGCAAAGACACAACATGTCAGTTACATTTTAAATTAAATTGCAACACTATGTCTATGAAAAATCAAGTTGTAAATGCCAAGCTGACTTAAACTTCTGGAATCAAGTAAATTTCTAAATTAGAACTTACTTTTTTTTCTCCTATTTTGTTGTAAACATTTGTTGTAAGAATTTCTCTTTGGCATATTTTCTTTCATATAGAAATGTATGAAAATACAATAGTAGCATCCTCAACATCACAGCTTTCTTTTGATGCAGTATTCCTACCTAGAAAGTATATATTGTTATGACCCCATTTTACAGATGAAGAAACAGATTCAGAAAACTTTATTAACTCACAGCTAGTTAAGTGCCAGAGACTGAATTCACACCTTAGTTTGTTGGCCTCTAGCTGATACTTTCTTAGCCACCGGGCTGTCCTTCCCCACCCCTTGTATATCCTGGTACCAGCCAGCACACAAATTAAAGCTTCCCAGCATGCAGTGGAATGAGTCATGACTGTGTGATCCACCTTCCCCATCATTCTCTGTAGCGCTGCCATGCTCTTCCCCACAAACTGTTCAGATTTCACCAAACCTCAGGAGGAAAGAGACCAGCAAAAGGTCTGAAGATAAAGCATTAAATCCAGATCTTTCGTAATTCCAGAGCTATTTTAAAAAGCAAAGCTGTATCTAACAGTTAAGCTGTGCAAACAGTACCTACTATGCGTTTTAAATAGCTCTCACCTGGCTGTGAGTGTCAACACAGACTGTGGCTTACGCACCTGTCTATTTGTTATCTGCTGTGCTGGGCTTTCCTTATGAACTTGCTCTAATGGCTTTAATACACATTGGCTAACAAAATACCACTGAATGGAGACTTCCTGGGGTGCAGCACAGTTAAAGGCTAAAAAGAGTAAGAGCCCCCCCTCCCCCCAAAAAGAGTAAAAGCCAATGTTTGGTTGTTGGAGCCAACCTTTTTCTACCAGCTCTGCTGGCTCTTCACCTGATGCTGACATATGAGACCAGAGTCCATTGGCTCGTGCAGCCTACCATGTTGTTACCGACTTCATCTTTGTTTCAGGAAGACTTTGGTGCCAATGGGGACAGGCTCACTTGCCCTCCACTCTACCCACTTCTAGTTCATCTTCCTGTACTTGAAAGGCTGGAGATTCAACAACAACATTTTTCAGACTCTCTTGCAGCTAGCATTCTTTATACAAGTTAGGTTCCTCTGATTAGATGTACTTACGTGAGATCCAGAGGGCAGAGCTGAGGCAAAAATCATCTTCCCGCCCCCTTTAAGCTGTTTTTTGCTGACAAGTAAGATAATTAAAGGTAAGCTCATTTTTAGCAGCATCATTCCAGTGTTCAATCTCCCACTTCTTGGGCATTGAGAGGTAGTTGGCAAGAGCTCGTTTCCTGAACCCTGGGTTGCAGCTACTGAAGTATGTCTTGAGCCCCTCTTCCTAGTGGTGATCTCATAAGTGGTGGATCAGGCCTGTATTGCCCTAGATCTTCCTCCTTCATATCTCCCTCCATTAACACCGAAACTACTAACATTTCTAGTATGCTCGCTGTGTCTTAGGCACTGTGCTAACACTCTACATAAATCATTTTATTTACACCCCAAAAGAACCCCATGAGGAAGATACTATTAATATCTTTTTGTTCTAGATGAGCCTACCAAGATTCAGAGAAAACAAGAAAATTGCACAGATCAGAGCAAAGCTAGTAGATAAGCAAACAGACCTGCCTCCAATGCCTGAGCTCTGCCTCTATGAAGAGGTGTGAGGGCCTGGGACCTACTGGCAGATTTTAATCGCCCGTACACATTATGATGCTGAAAAGCCATCACTCCTTTCCCTTAAACAATATACACAAAGAGGTCAAGATGTGTCTGGATATCAAAGAAGCCTCCAATCAAATTAAATAGAAAGGCAATTAAAAAACACAAAGGTATCACTTTGTAAAAACTCTAAACCATACCAAGATCACTTTTGTTGTAAAAGTTAAAGAACTAAGATGAGAGCAGACACAGCGTTGTATTTGCTCCTGGAAGGAGTAGAGCTGGGGGAGAGACATGCACTTACCAGGCGCTCTGTTCACAGCGAGGTTTCGGAAATGGCTGCCTTTGATCATTTCCACAGATAATCGCCCCGTTGTGGCATTGTAGGACAGCCCCACCAACAGCTCTGGCGCCCCTCCATGAGACAGCGACTGCGTGGATGAAGCACTATCACTGTGAGAAACGGCAGATGGGCTGAGCGAAGAATCTCCACTCTGGAGGGGAAGAAAAACAAAGAATCCATTGGCCCACGCTGCACTACTCTCTTACAGAAAGCCAATATTATGTTTGGTGAAATTGTGGCCCAATCTCAATGGCTGCCAAAGATTACTAAGGAAGGGCGCACTCCGTGTGAATGATAATGGGCCCGGGGAGCTGGTTGAGGGTGAGAGCCCCTGCATTATTAACTGACATCTCTGTTTCAAGAGCTGTCGCCATTCAATATTTTCTCTAAAGACAAAGCGAACCAAGATGTTATTACTAGTGTAAATCAAACCCTCTAAGATTCATAGAGAGCTAATAATACATTTAATATAGACCAAAATTCCCTCCTGTGTAATCTGTGCTTGAGTGTTTCTATGGAACCCATCCCTCCATTCTCTGCAGCTTTGTGATGAATATAGCAATTCAAAGGGCATTTTGTCTTCACTAGAAAAATGACCACTGGATGTCTACTACCAGATGGGACATTTGGCCCCTAGTTCTGCTTCTTAAGGTTGGCAGGAATATGCCAGGTGCTATGTTTTTCCTCCTAAGAAATGAATTACATTGAAAATGAGCACTTTTTTATAAGGAAGCTGACACATGGACTGCGATCTCAGAGACCTGGCAGGCACCAGATGAGCCCAGGGCAGAGCCCCCAAGTTCTGTTTATTCACGAGCACGCTTCTCAGAGGCACCCACTTTTATGCACCAGGCACACCGGGAAGAGGAGCGTGAAACTGATCACCAGGTTGATTCTCACTCAGGAAAGGGGAGTAGGAATCAGCTCTGCAGGGGAAACCAGCCAGCCTCCTGGAGCCATCACCTCCTCCACCAGAAACAAGGACACTGGATTTTGCTCAAACCTTTCTTCTCTACATCTAAAATCATTTCCTAAAACTTCTTATCAGAAACTCCAAAGAATAAGTGCATTAAAAGCAATTAAATATTCTTTACATCTGTAGGAAAATATCCTGTTTACCAAGCCATGGGCATCTAGAGCCTGGGCCTTCATGGAATACAATTTGTAAACTACAGGGCCAGGCGGTTTTGATAGTGCCTCACAGCACCTACTGGATGAATGATAACCCAATGTTGGAATATTTGCTTTGTTTTGGTTGAGGATTGCCCTCCCCTGCGTTTCTAAAGAAGCATCTACTGTGGCACCTATCGCTGCATAGCTTGCCTCTCCCATCAAATTCCCAATCCTTATAGACCTCTCAGGCCACAGTGCATAGCTCAGTGTCTGGCCTATAATCACACTCAACAAATAACTGGAGAATGGAAAAGTTTTGACCCTCAAAGTTCTTTCATACGGACTGATTTTCCCCACTCAACTCTGTGCTCCAGGCACACAGCACAGGGCCTGCACAGGGAAACGGGTGTGATCACACCTATCTTGAAGCTCTACAGTGCAGGCAGGGCTCCTGACCTCCCATGGCTTCTGTTTTTCATGATTTCAGATATGCTTTCCTCAGAGCTTCAGAAAAAAGAGGGATTTGAGCAGAGATGCCACATGATCTGGCTTATGTCTTAAAAGGCTCATTCTGAGCCCATGTTGGGAATAGTCTGAGGGGCAATGGCAGCAGCAGGGAGAACACTAGGAGACCATTTCTTCCAGCGGAGAGTCGGGTTCCAGTTGTATTTTTAAGACAGCCAATAGGATTTCAGGTGGGAAGGAGAGAAGTCACGAATGACTTGTAAGATTTTTAACCTGAGCAACTAAAAGGATGAAATTGCCTTTAGCCAAGATGGAAAGGCTGTAGGTGGAATAGAATTAGAGGCAAAAATCTGGATGTCAAGTCTGGAGATATTAATTTTGAGACATCTATTAAAAATGTAAGTGGCTGGCTCTCCTGTCGCTACACTGGCTCCCCTCCTCCTCCTGAGACTGACGAGCTCCTCCCCACCCAACACCTGCACGCGCCCTTCTGTCTGACATCTCTGTCTTCTACATGTCACCAGCTTCCTCCCCTGATTCCTTGAGTTCTGTATTTTATCACCACCTCAAAGGAACTTTCTCTGACTCTTGTGAAGAAACAGCAGCCTGTCACAGTCTTTCCTTCCTGCCCTGGTTTGCCCACTGCATCCCCTCCACCAGACTGTAAGCTCCCAGAGAACAGAGGGCTCACCTATTGAGCTCTTCCCTGCATCCCCTTCACAGTACCTGACACAGAGTAGGCTTTCCGGAAACATTTTTGAACAAATGACTGACTGACCCAACAGCCCAAGAGAGCTACTTGATCTTTTTAGGTGTTTTTTAAAAGGTGATACTCACACGAGAGGACACATCACATGGCAATACTGACCTGCCCGTCTTATAGACACGCAAGCTGCTCTGTCTTTGCTCGAAACCCCAGGGGAGGCTGAGGATGGGGCACATGGAGGAGCTTGGTTTTAGAAGTGACTGGGGTCCTGGGTTACTGTTTCAGCCTACTTAGGCACACTTGTCAAGGACCTCTCCTTGACAGTCCCATCTCTGAGATTCATCATTATGCACGTTGGGGGCAGAGCAGGGTGATGGGTGGTAGGGCCGTTTATTAGCTAACTAGAAAGCTTACCCACCTCTCCTGGTTTTCCCAAGCCCTCGACACTGTGCTCTTATTTCCTAACATGGACATCCATCAGGTAATAGAGAAGATGGGCACAAAAAACCCAAGGAAGCATAAAGTGCAAATCATGGCTCATAAGGACACGGAGAACCACATGGAAAATTAAAGTGTTTGAATCCACAGGCCAAATGTACTAAATCAGGGGTTGACAGTTCCACACCCTTGACCACAGCACATCGTTAGCAGCACCATTTAACACACTCACACTGATGTTACTTCTTGGCTCCAGAACGAGAGTGGCTTTCATTTCCCCTTCTGGGAGCAGGTGGCTGAGATAGAACAGCTTCTCTCCCATCATCCTCTCACGCGTCACCTTGCGGGCAGCATAGAGGCGGAAGCGGATGGCACAGGCAGCCACGTCCCGGGGCTCCAGCTTGGCGAAGGTGATCTTCTCCTTGAAGACAGGGTGGGGCCCCTTCTGTATGTTCGTCCTGCCCCTCTGTTTCTTACTGGGCAGCAGGACAACGTGGACCTGCCAGGAACTGATGCCACTCCGGTCCTTATCTGGGAGGCCCTGGGCTCTCACAATGGTCACTGTGAGTTTCTGGCTGGCGGCTCTATATTCAAAGATGACATCCAGATCACCACACTTTGAGATGGGCTCTGGGACCCCAGATGGCACCTGAAAATCGGCCCCATCCTGCTCCTGTTGCAGACAGAGGGAAAGATTAGGAATGGAAATGATAATACCCAGTTACATTTCTGTGAGACGATGCCCCTTCTGGGCTCTTTTGGAACCCTGTGCTAGCTCAGACCCCTCCATATTAGAAGGGTCTGTTTACTGGTCTATTTCTCCATTAGACTGTGAATTTTTTGAGGGCACAGTGCCTGGCATACGAGAAGGCTTCATGAATGCTTTTGGAAAGAATGAACAAAGCTTTTATATTTTGCAGTGTCTTCATCTAACACTGCCTCTCAAAGAGCACAACTGACCACTATCATTGAGACCAACTGAGATACAAAGTCTAAGATTAGTCAGCTACACAACTGCTAAGGGGTAACTTTACCTTGAATCCCAGGAGAAATGGATGAGCCTGAGCCTTTGCTCTATGGGCAATGACCACATAATAAAATTGGGGTCATGGGTAGGTGATCCCTCAGTATATTCAATCTACATGGGAGAAAAATTTAGGGCAGAGCTTCTCAAATGTGCATGTGGACTTGAATCAGCCAGGGATTCTTACTCAGTGGGAGTGGGGTAGAACCTGAGATTTTCCATTTTCAGAAGATTTTGAGGATGTCACAACTGGCCTCGAATCCCTCTCTGAGTAGCAAGTGTTTAGGGGGGCATCCCCAGCAGCCATTTAGTGAGCAGTGACATTGGACTTGAAGACAGAACACCTAGGCAGAATGTCTACATGAGTGCCAAGCAAAAATCATCACTCTACCACTGACTAGCTTTTTGACCCTGGCCATACAGGCCATCCTGTCTGTACTTTTGTTGGGGGTGGGTTGGCGGGGGAGAGCATTAAGATGCCTACTTGATAGAGTGCTGCTGTGAGGTTTTAACAGATGTGAAAAAATACCTGGCTCAGAACAGACTCCATAAATATCTATTCCCATTTGTAGACAGGTGCTACCTATTTTCAAACAAGCTCCCCTCATTATGAAATATCACCCTTAGACAGCAATTCACCTGTAGCCAGTCAGAGCTGATGACCTCACTGAGAAAACTGAGCTGAACTGCATTTACTGTAATGAACCACCCTCCAACAGACTATAAATAATGTCAGCCTAATTTGATTTCTCCTCCGAAGGCATGACTCTTACCCATAACTAAACTTTGGTTGGATTTCTTATTGTAAATCAGAATCAGTTCTTGTTTATGTAACAGCAGACCAGACTTTGCTAACTTAAGGACCTCTTTATTTCAAAAAATATATAATAAAACACCTGAGAAATGCAAGTACATCAACATAACTTTCCAATGCACAGTTCTCTGGAATGAGACTGCCTTAGGAATCCCAGGTCTACCACCTGCTACCTCCATGACACTGGGCAAGTTATCTAATCCTTTCCACTTCCTGTTTTTTCTCAACAGTAAAATGGACAGAGAGTACCCACTTTATAGGGTTGCTGTGAAAATCAAAGGACTTGACATATAGGAGACAGCTATTAAATGCCCTCTCTCTTAAGGTTCACATTAGTCGACCAAGAAAATTTAGGTTTCTTGCAAAATAAGGGAAGCTCCTTCTATCTCCTCCTCTGAGTATGCATGCATTCATGTGTGAGTGTTTCTATTCAGAGGCACTTAGTTTCAAGTGGTAAAAGTGGTTGCTATAGAGACTTCTGAATACAACTGACTAGATATAATATTAGAAGCAAGTCTCTAAGGAGTTAGGCCAACTAAACTCAAGTCACAGTCTTCTGTTAAAACTCCTGTCTATTTTAGCCTGCTCTTGATCATTTCTATATTGCTTGCCAGAACATAAGTAATAATAGATAACATATACTAAGCCCTCCCTTATCCCAGGTACCCTACTAAACCCTTTTAGACTACAAAAGCCCGCTTTCGTGCACTTCAGACTCTCTCGGCCTCACCTTGTATTCCATCTTCCCCTAGAAGCTGAGCCTGTCTGTGCTCTAAGTGTCTTCAGCCTAGAGAAATTCAATAGTCTTCCCTCCTGCCATGCTGTGTAGCTCTCCGCTCCTACCACAGGCTCTCTGTGGATGTCAAGACTTGGAAAGTCACAGGATCCTGCTTGGCACTCATGTACAGAAAGTCCAGAGCATGTGGGGAGTTAATGTCTCATGCACTCAACTTTTCTCCCCTTGGAAAGATGTCCTGACATTAGTTTATACAGCCTCACAGAACACAGTCCCACAAGAGCAAGCCGTGAGTCACACTCAGTGGTGCCAATTTGATTATACTCGTAATGACGCTCCGCTCTTCCCCGCCTCAGTCCCTTGTCTCTCGCTCTTCCCTGGGATTGCATGTCCTGTGCTTTTCGGGAAATGCAGCTAAGAAATGTTATCTTTTAAAATATTCACATTAACTTAATGAGGTAGGTATTTTAATATCTTCCTTTTGATAGGGGAGCAAACTCTGGCTTAGAAAGGCTAAGTAATTCACTCCCTGCCCCCAGCATCATAAGCTCAGCCAGGACTATCCAGGGTTTACCAGTACTAGTGCTTAAAATCCCAAACCTTATGTTGAACCATAAGTTCTCCCCGAAACTTTTCACCGCAGCCATTTATGTCTAGTAAGTGTTTGAGATAAGAGGGGATGAGATGGGAGCAGAGAGTTGAAAATGCACACTACTTTGAATTTCACATCCTTTTAGGTCCCTGCTCTTAATACTAGTTAACAGTTTCCAGTTTTGTCATCAACTTCAATGCCACGGTAAAAATATCCTAGTTAATGACTCTCTCTCCACTTACCCATCATGCTGCCTATTAGATAACACTCGCTGCACCTGCAGGTTTGTGATAAAGTCCTGGGGGGCAGGGGAGCGACTCTGCAATAACTAAATAAGACACAGCTCCAGGCAAAGACCAGGCTCTGGATGGAGACGATCCAAACGGCGACCCATGAAAACTGGGGTGTGGCCCCTTCCTGGGTTGATCTGGAATGAAGGTTTGTGAAGGCCGGTATTTTCAGAGCAATTAATCATTTCAACACACCTTACCTATCACCAGGCAACTAAAGGCACTCATCATGTGGGTTGCCATTAATATCACTAATCCATCTGACCTTCCTGCAAGGAAAAGATCTCTTCATTTGTATCCCCATTTGGCAGATTTTAATTAACTTCTCAAGGCAGACCAGTTAATCAGTGGAAACAGAGATGAAAAGTGGGACACCTGCCTCCCTGTGTGCTCAGCATCACCAGCCACCCGCCCATCATCTCCCACCCCACCCCGAGCCCTAGGCTTGCAGGAAAGAGTCGAGGGCCTTTTCCAGCAGGAAAGAACAGCATGTGGAAATCCATCAGCCTAACAGGTAGCCACACTACATGACCAGTTTCCTTCTGAGTCCAAAATAAATGATTCCTTTCACTCTAAGAGCCTGGGGTTGTCTTTCAGATGGGAATACTTGTGCCACATTGTCAGAAACCCATGTAGGTTTAAAGATTTTCTATCAAACTGAAAGTCTTTTTTTGTTCTAGTAAGACAGTATTGATGTCATCTGTGTGGCCCAAAGTAAACAGACCCACGATATGTTCCCGATGCCAGATACACGGGGGAAGACAGGGCTCTTAATACAGCTAAGAGGCAAATCAATCAATTCTTAAAAGGCGAGCTAAGCCTGCCAAGTAGGCAGTTACAGGAACTGTCTCCGAGCTGCATTTGAGGTTCTACTGTAAGAGCACAAATTACAGTTTTTGTCTCAAAATAGATAGGAGGTTGAATGGAGCACACAAAGATGTCTGGGTATTTCTGGAGTCTGAGAACATTTAGTGCCCTCAACACCAAGTCTTCTATTAAAGCTCCACAAGGCAGGCAAATGGGCGATTACCTGGAGAAAGCAATCCCAGGCTAATGGTACAGTGATCAAGGGGACGGAGTATCACCAGGCAGGTAAACACTTCTGTTTTGTTTATGTGGTGAGAGAGCCAAAAAGAGTATTTTTAAACATTAAATGTTACTGTGTGGGATTTAATATGAAACTGACAGGGAAACACATTTAAAAAAAATTTTTTTTTTTACAAAACTTGTAAGTTAATAGCTTTGGGTGTCTCCATATGAAGGGCTGCTTTTAAGAAGCCACAGGTACACATCTGAGTTACCATCTCCTGTCCTGAGCAGGAGCACCAACACAGGCATGCACATGCACGTGCAACCTCCTCACGCTCTCTAGCAGTAAGGATGTGGAACGTGATTTTTTTTCTTCTCCTTGATAAGCATTTGGTGCATGTGACAGTCCAGGCCCTAATAAGAGATTTTCATCCTGTTTATTTCCTCAGTCAGACTGAAGCTAATAAAACCCACTCACCCTTCTCTTCCTCTATCCCCACAAATTACATGGCAGTTTTATATACTTATATGACTTATTTCATCAAAATTAATTTCAATAATGGTATTAGACACCACTATTTAATATCTCTTAATGTTATATAATCTTTATAGAAGGAATTTAACTAATAAGGAGTAACCGTAAATGCTTGTTAAGATAAAACTCTTTGTAAAATCCCTATCACGGTGCTTGGCACATAGTAATTGCTCAATAAATGGTAGTTTCAAGTGCTATCACCTCCAGTCGCACCTCTGGTTAATTAGGCATATTCTGGAGTAAGTTTTAATTGAAAAATAAATTTAGAAGAAGCATCTTTTAACATAGATTTATTTCAGAAAGCAAAGTCAATAGCCAGAGGGCTATTATAGACTCCTGCCATCTCTTAGACCTTTAATTCAATGAAAAGCTAACAAATACACTGTAAGATCATCATCGTAATATCTTGTATAATTTCATTTGGAGGGCCACTGTATTTTAGCTTAATTTTCAAATAATTCTCATATTCAAATAATCATTACTCAAGATTTGGAGTAAATAAAAATAGACTCCACTTAACTGAAACCATAAAGGAAATAAACCAGTCTCTCTAAAGAACTAAAAGCTCCTTTATGTACAAAAGAAGCCTGATTGTTGTTGGGCCCATCCTGCCGCCATTCTACTTTCCTTTTTTCCATTTTGATAAAAATGTATACATAATTCTTTTATTGGTCCACATAGGGGTCGGGCTTTGGTCATCTGAACAAAAATTTAGTTAAATAAAGGCTCTTTAGGTCTTTGTTTTTCAAGGCAATGCTTTCTTTTGGAGGAAATTTTTGTCTTGAGGGATGGGGAGGGGAGGAGCACAAGAACTAGACAGAGCACAAAACACTAGAGCAAGAAAGGAATGGAAAACAAGTAACTTGCCTCTGGACTCCACGCGGAGGAGCTGTCAGTGGCATAGGAGTCTTCAAGTCCCCGGTTATTAAAAGCGGTCTCCATCTCCAAGCTGCCCTCTGTGGACTGGCGACTGAGCCTGCGGACCACACTGGTCTCTTGGGGAGATGCTCCATGGTGCCTGGCACCCCCCACCTCACATGGGGGCTGTGAGTGGGCAGAGATGGGACCATCGTCACCACAGGACAGACTCTCAGAACAATTCAGTTGGCTGATTCCATCCAAATCTAAATTTGCAACAAGGAAATCATTTCAAATATGTTATTATTTTATACCTTATTATCTAGAGAAACTGAGCAGTCGCAACTACACCAATCAAGACTTCAAAAACAAAACCCACAAAGTAACACCTGCAGATATATAATTCCATTCATACAATGGATACACTTGGTCCATATAACCCAAAGGACCACTGTTCATTATGTGGGACAGAAGGTTAAATACTTTCTAATAATATGAGTGCAAAGGATGTGTATTTCTGTTAGGAGGTTAAATGAAACACATTAGCATTTTGTTGGAGCGAATGACCACAAGACTTTGGGGATGGATCTAGAAAGCAAGAACAGCAGTCTACTGTGGAGACCACGTGGTCTCCTGACTCTACCCTTTCTCTTCTCTTCCACGTTCAACATATTACTCTCTGCTCAAAAGGCTTCGGTGGTTTTCTCAAGTAGAAAGTTCTCTACTGATCTGTGCAAATAACAGTGGGTTTGGATTCAGATAATAAGGATTTAAGGACTTGAACAATGTGAGCTGCCTGAACCTTTGTTTCCTTATCTATAAAATAATGACAGAAGCCCTCAGAGAGATGCATCAAATAATAGCTGCCTGGTAGCCACCAGGCCTTCCATAAATATTAGCCTTGCTTACTTGTATGGCCCAAACTGGCCTCATCCCACCCAGCAAACCTCACTTTCTCCTACCTCCCAACTCTGTCACCTGTGGTCTCACTGGCTCATGAAAATGCTAGTTGTGTATTTCTGTTCACAGCAGTTCTCAAGCTCTCCCTCTTGTCCTTTCCTCCTGTCCATCTAAAGCCTCAACACCTCCCGAATCTTCCTTGGCTCCTTCAAACTCAGTGTTTTTCTCAAACGACCTCCTCCTGCTCTCTTCTCTTCTCCCTCTTCCTCTCCCTCTCTCAGTATTTCCTTACTCTGTTCATCCCCTACACTCACAAAGGAGCCAAGGATTTCTTATCTCTTTGGCCTTCAGGCTCCCCCAGCAGCCTCTATCCCAGGATGAGAGAAAAGTACGAGATACAGACAGGATAAGTGAGTGGGTGACAAAGTATGTATCAAAAATTCAGCTGTTATTTATACACTGCATGGCAACAATTGTTTCCACTGTTAGTCTTTAAGTTTCAGCTAGAACATAAGCTCCTTGAAAGCACTGAGCCACGTACACCTACTGCATAGTCTTTATCTACCAGTGGACTTCACTAAACCCTCAAATAACTTCAAAAGCTAGGCAGGTACCAAATACTTGAAGAAGCCATGTGTGTAGCTATATGGAGTGGTGGTGACAGTGGCTTACCAGACAGTATATGACCTACTTATATTAAACATGCAAACTTAAAACTATCTCATCAGCTTTGCAAACCATATAAAAACATTTCCAGGCAGACTTGGTCCTCAGTGCACTTCAGACTCCTGATTTGGGATTCTGCAAAACCATGGCAAGCCATCGAGAAGTTCCCCTATCTGCCTTGTTATTCTTAATAATTCGGTTCAGGGCCCTTGGGAACACTTTCATAGGACACCATAACATTTTTACATGCACACTTTCAGTTATTTGGCAAATACAACTTTTAAAAAGGCCATGGAAAATGACAAAACAAGGGTTATTCCATATGCAAAACCCTACAACATAAAGCAGAATTTTCTTCCAAGGCTCTAATTAGCACATCCATTCCTCACATACATGAACACTAAAATGTCCTATTAAACAGTAGGTCATCCATCAACGTGTGTAGCACCCAGCAGGGTTTCAGCATAAAATCTAACTCTGCCAAGAAATTACTCCCATAAAATTGTCTCATGACTTCAACTCCTACAGTGATAATACCTAGATCAGTAATAAGAGAATTTTCCAAAGCTACATCAAGCCTTGAAAAGCTATTCATAACGGAAAAACATAAGAACTATATTAATGTAACAAACCATTTTCCTTGACAGACATTCAAGGATGAATTAGACAAGCAAATCTGGGGTGCAAGTTGAGTTGCAAGGAGCAAGAGAGGGAAAGGTGATTCACCGTTATATAAAGCAGTCTTCCCAAGCTTTAAATTAGAGAAGATCATGTCACCTTAAACACGTACAGAAAAGTAATTGCCTGTTGTCAGAGAAATGTATCCTGACTTTGTAGGAATTACAGGGCATAATTATGTCACATCAACCACATTAATCTCAGCAGAGGAATTCATCTGTTTAGTCCATACCCCACATTGATGGAGTGTAACCAATTACTTTCTTTTACACTCCCACCTCCTCTCTCCCGACACCACTCAAATACAAATACTTTTACTTACCATCTATGATGGTCAGTGTTAGGTGTCAATGTGGCTAGCCTATAGGTAGGTCCCAAATATTCAATTAAACACGAATTTAGGTGTTGCTGTGAAGGTACTTTGTAGATGGGATTAAAGCCCTTAAGCAGTTGACTAAATAAAGGAGATTATCTTACATAATCAGTGCATTAAAAGGCCTTACCGGGAGAACCAAGGGGTCTGTGGAGAAGAAACTTCACCTGTGGACTGCTTTGGCTCCTACCTGAGAGTTTAAAGCCTTCCCAGCAGCTGTTCCTATGCATTTCAGAACTGCCATTCTGTTGGCCTAGCGAGCCCACCTTTCATGCCTAGGGATGTGAGGCACAGCCTCTGATCCAGATCACTTAGCCCAAACCCTCTTTGACATTACCAGGAATACAGTGACAATCAGTGCAAAATAACACTAGGTGAGATATGAGAGACAAGAGAGACCTTGGCTAGAATGAGAAGACAGCATTGTCTTGGTTCTAAAATAGCCTCATCACTCAATCTAGAGTGAAGGGTCTCACTTAAGCAGAAGAAACATGAGACAACCTATCAGGAACTCACTCTCCGTTCAGGTTTTACTTGAATTTTGCGGGTCCCACAGTTTGAATGCGTTTTTAAAGTAAGAATTGTCTACAATGAAATTTTATCTTAGAAAATCAGTGTAAGGTAGAGTGAAAAAATAGCTAAATAGAGCACAGGCCAAAAAAAAAAAAAAATGCTCTCAGGGTACACACTTAATCTCATTATTCTCTATCACTGAAACAAATTCACTGATCTACAGATGAACAAAAAGAAATGACATGGGAAAAAATCATACAATAAAATTTAGCATGCAGTGACTCATTCCTAGGAAAACCCTGCTGGTTTTCTTTAAAAACTACAGGTAATTCATTCACCGTCATGGACTTTTTCCTCTCTCCTATAGAGAAAAATTTACCTCTCCTATCACCATCTGTCAAAAAATTTAGAATCACCAGTTATGACAAAAGTTGTTGCTAATTTCAGGAATGGTGAAGGTTAGAGGGGTTGTCAGAACATCAGCCAATTGACTAAATCAGAAACTAGACACTCAGGCTTCTGGGAAATGGGGCCATTAGCTTTAGAATTAAACAAGCGACTCCTAGGGAGTCAACTGTTATTAAGTTTCATTAGCTAGCATTTGCCCTCCCCGTGGAGAGGGAGGAATGCTGTGATGTAACATGAGAGGGAGAGAGAAAAGAAAGCAGGAGAGGGTAAAAGGAAATGATGGAGGGTCAGCAGTAAGCTTTGGTTACATAAGGCATCTATTTCTTGGCTTACCTTGGGCTAAAAAGAATAGCAATAAAATATGTTACGTTGCCCATATCAACAAGTAAAATTCTATGATGGACAGCAAGTTATGATATTCCCACTGGGAAACAGAGTCAAAAAATATTGCTACAAAGAATAGCAATAAAATATGTCGCCCGTATCCGTAAGTAAAATTCCATGACAGATACCCAGTTATGATACTCCTGCCGAAAATTGGGGTTCTTTCTGTCAATTCTCCCTTTTCCCCTGTGTTCTTTCTCTGCCTGCCTCATCTACAAGTCAAGTCAGAAACCTCTCTGTCATCTCCTCTCAATTTTTCACTTTCCTTTTTCTGTATCCTTTTTCTACCGCTATGTGTTGAAAACCCATAGAGGAGCTACAGCTACAGCCCCACTGGTGTGACCACAGTCCAAAAGGAAGAAAGAATAGATGAGAGAAGCCAGGTCACTGAGACCAGGTCACAGAGGCATGGCACGTTCTCCATCAGCCTTTTATCGTATGCATTGCACAGCCCCTTCCCTTCCTCATGTCCTGTGCCCACTCAGGGCTCTGGGCACAAGGGAGTCAAGGAGATGCCCAGCCTTCACTCAGGAAAGCACTCAGGAGCACTGTACTGTCCTCTGCCCAGCTTATTTTGTGCAAGTGGTGGGGAGGGGGGAGGGTGCTCCACGAGGCCGTCCCTCCATACGGGCTGTGCTCACCCTGCCCCCGAGTGTCCCCGCTCCTCTGTGGAGGGTGAACGTAGTACAAAGGTGCTAGAGGAAGGCCTAAGACCCTGCTCTTGCCCAGCAAGTCTCATGTGAAGTGGGGGTAGGGGTGTCCAGAAACTCAGGGAAGGAGCAAGAGGGAGCAGGGCATGTGCTGTTTGAGAAAGGCTATTCAATATTATGTTTTTATTTGAAAAAATAAAACATGCCTATTGTCGTAATACTACAAACCATTAAAAGAAAGGCTTAAAAAATCTTCTGAGGTTACAGAGCTATGTGACAAACAGACTTGATGATTGCAAACAGGAGCAAAGGCTCAGGATCTCAATGTTAGCGGTCAGGTGTGTGACGTTTTTGCACGTGTCAGAAGGGATAGAGATTATATGTTATAAAGCTTGATAAATACCATTCCGGTCATTAGTGCTCAGAACACACAAAGTAGTAACTCCAAGGAAGGAAGGAGACCCACGAATCAGGGGTCCAGGCCTCAGCGCCTCTGACGCATCCCCTGCCCAGGCTCCCTGCAGGATGCCCCCTGCCCTGCAAAGTATGAGCAGCCCTTTCTCTGTCCCAGCCTCTGGCTCCTACCCCACGTTCTCTCCCTCTCTGGACTCTCAGATGCAAGTGCAGAGGTTACGTGACTCAAAGACACCCTCCCCGTTGGCCACCCCTGGTCTAGACAGAGGGAGGGCTGGGTGCGAAGGGTACCTTCCCCAGTAGACACCTGGGTGCTGTCCTCTTCCCTGGTGGAGAGCAAGCGGCGGACTTTTGGCTTCTGCTCCGATCCTGTCTGCTTGCTTTTCTCAGACGCTCTTGTGCGGAAACTCTGGGACCGGGACACAGAAATCTCAAACTGTTTGATCACTTCCTCGTCAGTGTCAGAAGATGTGCACAGCTCTTCGTCATCTCCAAAGCTGTTAACTGAGAGCAAACAAGAGCCATGAGTCCCCCACAGGGCCCGCAAGCATACAGAGGAAGACAGTCAGAGAAACAGGAGAGCTTGGGCCGTGAGTCTGGATCGAGCAGTTCCAAGTTGGACAGAAAGAATCTAAAGCAGGGTTGAAACACAAATTTGAGTCTACATGAATGAAACGGGAAGAGGCAGCTCCCAAGGGCAATCAGGAGGAGATGCCTAGAGCCCCGAGAAACCACTGGGATGGCCCTGACCAACGCTATGGGCCCTCTCACTGAGCCGGCAACCCTGCTGCTTTGCTGTTGCTGACACGTGCTCGTAACTGGAGGCGGAAACTTATCCGTGCACATGCCTTATGTGCAGGTCCAGTCACCATGACAGAAAATACGCTCTCTGCTGCCCCTCAGCTATTCAAACCCACAGAGCAGACTGAGATCCGCAACTGAGGTTTTCCAAAAGCTTCCTGGTTTTGAAAAGAGGCATCCGTGTGCACGTGTGATCCTGTTTCTACTAGAAACGTTCTGATGCCTTTCTCAACACCAACAGCCCAACCCAAATACCCTCTGAATTATTTGTGCCGCTTTCTCTGCGCTCCCCACCCCCAGCACATGGGTCCTCTTTCAGTTTTTCCAACATGCCCAGGCCATTCCTGCCTTTGAGTTCTTTGCATTTGTTGCTCTTTTGCCTGGAAACTTCCCTCCCCTGGCTCCTCTCACCAAGTGTCAGCTCAACAAACTCTACCCTAATCACCTTCCTGATCATCCTACCAAAAGCAGTTCTCCTCATAGCAATTTCCAGTTTTATTTCTCTCTTCTCTCCCATCACTTCCATAAGAATAAAGACATCATCTGTTTTATTAAATGACGTGTGCCATTGTGTAAAACAATGCCTGTTGGAAACTGAGTGCTTAATAGACACCTGTTAAGTGTTGAATAAATTGGTGAGTACCCAGTGTTTTATCCCAACCCTGAAGGCTCCCTCATATACATAGTTCCCTGTGCCTGGAATAGTCTCCAGCCCCTACTCAGACTAGTCAAAAATCTAGCTCACATTCAGGTCTCAGCACAGAAAGCCCTTCCTGACCCCTTAAATCATGGTCAGGGCTCCTTCCACACGCTGTAAAAATCTTTCTGTGTCCTGCCCTGACAGCACTCCCTCCAGTGTTGGGGCAGAATTACCTGTTTAATTGGCAACTATTCCACCTATCCTGTGCACACCGTGAGGGTAAGAGCACATCAGGCCACCCACTTTGCATCCCCCTAGGCCTGATCTCTGCACCAAGCACATGGCAGACTACCCTGTAAATATTTTCTGAATGTGAACTGGAAATGATAAATAATGAGAAATTATTTTTTGAAAATTTCCTCCTTCCATCCAAAAGTCACACAGTGATTCTGGGTAAGAATATGGTCGTTAGTTCACAGATGGCTCCTGAAGATTGCTTCTGAATCAGAAGCTAAGAGGAAATTAAAAAGCCATATTTTAAGTGAGAGAAAATACTTCAAACACCAGCCTGGTCAAAACATTTATTCTCTGGCTTATTTAAGAGTTGATATTTTGAGGTTCTTTGGAAGACTAATAATAAAAACAAACACGTTTTGAATACTTTTTATGTGCCAGGAACTATCCTAAGCCCCTTGCACATATTATCTCATTTAAACCACACACACACACACACACACACACACACACACACACACACACCCCCTATTATTGTTCCCATTTTGCAGGTAAGAGAACTGAGGCAGAGAGAAGTCTGAAACTGGCTGAAGATCACACTGACAATAAGCAGTAGAATCAAGACTTGAATTCAAGGAAGCCTGTGTCTAGAGGCCATGTTTCTAATCACCACGCTGGAGGACCAGAGAGAGGTAGTGGAGGTAATTCTTATTCTATATACTCACATGAACTAGCTGAATCCCTGTGGCTAAGTCCCTTAATCTTTCTGGCCCTGCTTCATCATGTGTGGGTCATTTCTAACATCTGGGTCATCTCCCAGGTCTTTTCTAGATCTAAATTCTCCGACTCCAAACTTCCTGCTCACAGGCATTAAAATGTTATCTGTTTCTCTCTTTTTTGGAGCAGGTAATCCAAGAACATGAGAGCACATCATTGTCAGCTCACTCAATTCTATCAGCTGTGACCAGCACCGTGGGAGGGCCTGAAAAGACTAGATTCATGTCAGAAGAGACTAGATTTCCCACCAACAACTCGAATGCATCCCAACAAAACTCTACCACAATGAGCAATCTGCTCATGTCTCAACATGCTGGGCACTGCATTCTGGTAAGGGGTGAACCATCACAAATGGGAGACATCCAGAGACATATTGGGGCAAAATTAAACTCTACCTTTAGAATATAGGATCAGCTAAGTACCTGGGAGGGAGTCAGGGATATTAGCACAGGAGGGGTGGTTGGATTAGACATCTGCTTGTAGTTCTTTTCATCTTTGAGATTCCATTCCACTTGTATTGCTGGCAGGCACTTTTTAAATTTAACTAGTCATAAGTCATCAATTTCAAATTAAGTAAGTTAGCTCATGGATACTTCTCCACATATAAAATCAGTAATTAGAATTCATTAATTTACCAGTATGTGGTCCTTGATTTTTTTTCCAGTGAGTCACTGATCACCCACAGAGCAAGATTCCCCTCACTTGATATAATAATCATGATAGAAATTATAACATTTCCCATTTACTAAACATATACGATATGCCAGGTACCTTTCTTGGGCCTTTGCGTATATTATCCCATTTAATCATCATAGCAACAGCAGGAAGTAGAGATGATGATTATTCCCATTGCAGAGATAGGAAACAGAGGCACAGAGAAGTTAAGGAACTTGCCCTAGGCAACAAAGTTAGCAAAGTAACAAAACAGACTTAAACAGAGTACCTGTACTCTTAGCCACTGTGCATATCGTCAGACATCACTGCAGCAGGTCACTACAGCCATATCTAGCTTACTTTTTAGAGGAAGGTGAGAGAACTCTGCCACTTCCACCCTGACGTCAGTCAGGAGGTTGCTTCCTTTGTGAGAAGAGCAGAGCAGTGAGAAGGGTCAGTCCCTGTGGGAGTGAATGCTTACAGGCAAGCCAAAGTGTAACTCCTATTGCTCCTTATGGGATTATAAATAAACCTGCTGTGCTATTCTAAATCTTCCTCCCCAAGGATCTCAGGGAATTCTCCACCTAAAAAGCAAAACTTTCCATCCCTTCTGGAAACCACTGAGCAGCAACAGACGTCAATGGTGGCACTATTACAAGGATAAGATCAATCCCACATACATTAATTATGTGCCAACCATTGTTCTAGAAATTTACATCTGTTAATCTATTTACTCCTCACAATAACCCTTAATGAAATTGGTATTTTATTGTCCCCATTGTATGGATGGGGAAAGTGAGGCACAGTGAGGCCAGTAATTTGCCACAATCATAAGAGTGAGTAAATAATGGAACCAACATTCAAACTCAGGCTGTCTTGCTCCAAGGTCAGGGTTATGAATGACCACATTATGCTCCCTCTACCATCTACTGCCTCAAGGAATAAACTTAAATCCTGGTCAAAATCTACATAACTGCGTTTTATCCCTAAAAAGACAAGAATCATGTAGGTGGAGCTGGAAAGAATTTTCATAAGCATCTATCTATTCCATCATTTTCACAAGGAGAAACCAAAGCCCAAAGAGGCAGTGTTTTGCCCACAGTTATACCGTGCCAGCACCAAATGTGAGTCTCCAGTGTTCCACATCAATGGGTTTGCTGCATTGTTTTCCCAGCTCTTCACCAATGGGCTGTTTTTTCAAATTCAAATATTGACTCTTATCTTTTTGAAAGATCCCAGCTACTCCCCTTGTAATGAGTCCATGTCAACAACTAAATAATGGATCTGGATTTCATTCAACCTAAATCTTTGAAAATCACAAAGTCTCACCTAAGTTGGGGCACTTATTTCAGAGGTAAGATACGTCTTCCTGTATTGCCATATCGAATACCAACTTCAAATCCCTTTTAAGATAAGTACCCAGGAAACAGCGCAGTGGGGATTTATATTAAAATCTTCACCCCTTCATCCAATTACCTTGCTAAAATAACAGGAAAAAGTTGCACCATTATATGGATGTGGATACATCTTGAAGATATGATTGTTCATTTCCTCAAATCACAGAATGCAGAGAGATCTTAGACACCCCCCCAACATACCAGACTCTTCTGCAGTCTCTCTGACGCATAGCCACCCAGCTTCATCCCTTTGTTCACATACTATCAAGGTGCTACTCTGGGCTTCCTGCTCTGGCAGGAAGCTCATGACTTTGACACGCAGAGAGGGCTAACTATAGATCCATCAATACCCAGTCCCTGCTTCAATGAAGTCAGATGGTCCCTCCCTCTAACTTTAATGATTTTTTTCTATTTTAAATAGATAGAAACAGAGGAAATGATATCTCCATCTTGCACATTTAAGAGAGGAAGGTGGTTCCCCAGTGCCACAAAACTGCCTGTCAAGTGTAACATCAGGTAAAGCTAGAGTGGCTAAGGATGTGGAATCTGGAGCCAGGACGCCTGAGTTTGAATCTTCTATTTGCTGTTTTGAGACCTCAGCAAGTTCCTTAATCTTTCTGAACATAAGTGTTCTTATTTTGATATTCCTTACTTTTCAAAATTGTTGAGAAGACTAAATGAGATAAACCATATAAAGGCACTTAGCACATGCCAGGCATATGCTATGTTAATAATAATAATAATAATTATTATTATGCTCCATCATGGCAGTGACCTATACAGATAGGTCACTTTTATGAAGCCTTGTGTTTACATGCAAAGAGTGTGCCTGCTCTTGCAGTGTCTAACTTGAAAACACATCACCAGAATTACTGTGGGAGGGCAAAAGAAACAAGGATGGGAAAGGAGAAGATTAAACTGAGAATGTAGGTTGTACGACCTTCCTAACCTCACCACTCTTCTTCTTAAGTCTGGAGGTGGCATGCTCTGTAAGAGTTGGC